TAATAAAGAAAATGTTAAAAACTAAAAACATACAATTTCAGCATTAACAAAAAGAAAGAGGGTATAGCTTTAATAAGCCAGTCACAAAAAAGAAATTTGTCAAATGCTATAAAAATAATGTGCTAAGGAAATGAAAATAACAAAGTTAACACCAAAAGTGATTTTTAAAAATGAAAAAACAAAACTCAACTGTGAAGGAAATGTAGAAAATTTTAATAAAGTAGAGTCATTTAAAAAAAATGAGGCCTACTTTGTTTATTTCATTGATGATTACTTCCTTTCAACCCTTTACAAAACATGCATTTTCTGTCACAGTTCTACTATTTATAAACAAATGGCAAAGCAATAAAAATTAAAACTATTGGTCAGGATCAAACAGACACATTGGTGGAAATATAGTTCAGGTACTCTTATAGAAAGAGACAAATAAAATTAGGCAAATACAAAGGAAGAAAGATAAATGGACAAAATACAATTAAAATATCAAATAAATATTCCCATTTTGAGAATACTGTACATTATTATTACATAGAAACCAAATTAATAACTGATAAAGAGACAGACCAGGCTTTGTGTTGTGACTATGGGACCACTGAGTGTGTCCTCACGGTGAGTACTCACCATGGGGCAGTGAGTTGACTCAACATCGCTAGAGGAACATTTGGCCAAGGGAATCTATTATTAAAACCTGTGTACATCTTTTGACTCTTAAATTTCAGATCCAGAAATTAGTCTTAAAAATATTGTGAAGGGTACAAATGTGAGTGTACACATTTGTTCATGGTATCAGAGTGTATATTTGCAAAAGTTTAGCCAAAGACTAAAAACCTTTCAATGGACATTGGTTAAATAAATTGCAGTGTGTTCACAGACACGGGTATGCTAAGTAGTCATTAAATCCTGGTGTAGATAGGTATTTATTGACATGAAGAGATGTTTTCTAAATTGCTGACCAAGGAAAATAAGATTATACAATCAAAATTAGGGTATGTTCACATTAAAATAGTAATTGGTATATGTATACACAAATTTACACACCTACTTCTCTCTTTAAGATGTCTGATACATTTTAGAGACAAGAAGGTAGTTGTAAGGTAGTCTCAAAAAAGTTAACAGAATTATAATAGTTGACAAGATTGAGGTAAGGGTTTTTTAATTTCCTTTTTTACACTTTTTAGCCTTTCAAAGAAAAGAATAGCTTAAAATATTATTAGGCAAAAACTTTTATTTGGGGAACTTAAATTGTGTATCAATCTCCTAGTCTCTGTATTACCGGAAAAATCATCTATAGTTCTGCCCACAGAGGGAAAGGATTCTGACTGGGATTTTGTGCCTCTGGTTAATCCACCCACGGGGCCAGTGAGCAGAGCACTGAGGAAAGGATGTGGTCCTGTGTGGGGGAGGGTCACAGTGCAGGGGTGTGGGGGAGGGACACAGTGCAGGGGTGTGGGGGAGGGACACAGTGCAAGGGTGTGGGGGAGGGTCACAGTGCAAGGGTGTGGGGGAGGGTCACAGTGCAGGGGTGTGGGGGAGGGACACAGTGCAGGGGTGTGGGGGAGACTGCTATCTGCTAGTAAGTGCTGATGCAACACTGAAGAATTCTCCAAATGCATTTGTGAGAAAATGGGGGGAAAACTTAAAATTTCCCCCCAAACCATCGCTTTAGTTGGATTTGTGAATACATGGTATTTACTCAGTTTAAGGTCTCCAAGCTATTATTGATTGTAACTTATTTTTCCTCTTTTTTTTTTTTTTACAATCCACAGAACACAAGAGTATGGGACATGTAAAAACTCAGGATGGCATGAGAAAAAAGAGTCCACTTGGAAGTCCATTAGGAAAGAGCTTAAAATGTACTTGCAGATACATATCCCATGGTTAAAAGGTTGTCTTTTTTGTAACCAATAATCACCCACTCTGAACCTAAGCCCTAAGCTGAAATCAGACAAATACTGAATATGATTATGGTGCTGCAGTGAAAAAAAATAGCTGTGCAGATAAGCAAAAGGTAGAGGATTCTTCTTTGTTATTGTCTTGATGTGGAGACGTGACCCCCTTTATACACAATTAAAGAATAATACAAAATAATGTGTGGTAGGTGTCCAGTGGTATGATTTAGCTGAGATATAAATTCAAAGACGTAATCGTATGAAGCACGGAAGACTTCATCAAAAAAGTGAATCTTCCAAAAGGCCTGTGGCCTCATATTTTCAAGAGAATAGCACTACCAGTCACCCAGAGAATGGACTGATCCAGAGTCCAGGGCATAACTGCTGACTTCCCACTGCTCGCCTGTGCCCCAGAGTTCATCAGTAGCAACCCAAAGCTGCACGTCTCAGAAAACCTTTACTCATCTTCATTGCCACTGCTATTACTTCAGTGCAGTTGTCTGTAAAGTCTTGGGTGAATTATTGAAGCAGTTGCCTAACTGCTATTCCTGCCTCTTGCTTTGTCCTCTTCTAATCAGTCTACCCCGTGTGATCTTTCTAAAATCCACCTCTGAACCTACCGATCTCCTCCCTAAAATACTTCAATGACTCCCCATTTCCAAGAGCATAATATCCTAACCGTTTAGGATGACACACAGATTTCCTTGTAATCAATCCTCTCTCCTTGTCCCTCCAGGCTCATCTCTGCTGGTCCCTGACACTTCATCTCTTCATCCTGAATGATTTGTTATTCCCAGCATGTGACAAACTCTTGTCACCGTGGGGCCCTTCACACATTGACCCCTGCCCCCCATGGATATCCTCACACTTCCTTTATTACCTGGTTAACTTCAATTCATTGTCGGTGACTCAGTCCAGATGCCACCTCTTCCTGGGTGTTTCGTCTGACCTTACATTTCAAGGATTGATAGTCTTCCATCTCTCCTGTAACACCCCACAGGTACCTCTATTTTAGGGTCTGTCTGTGAAACAGTTTACTTGTTTTGCAGGTGCACTGTCTATTCCACGGGGTCAGGAATTACATCTTATTCATTGTGGTATCCTAAGGCAGATTTTTGACCAGTAGATGGTGATTTTCCCAAATGTTCAATTTAAACCTGAATGAATGAATGAATGAATGAATGAATGAATGAATAAATGAGCAGTGAAGAGTACACCATGTGGATCAAATCATTGAAATGTGTGTGCCATCGTGGATGCAGAATTAAATGACTTTATAAGGGAATATCAAATGATTAGAGTAGGATACCAAAATTTTCTCAAAATTGCCTCTTACTTAGTGTTCAAACCACACAGATGATAGTCAGTCATATGTCGATTGTATAAACATTTGTGTGTACTCTATATGTACACATATATAGTTGACCCTTGAACAACATGGGCTTGAGCTGTACAGATCCTCTTACAGGTGGATTTTTTCAACAAATATGTAGTACTGTATAGGAATTTTCTAGCCTTCTAATTTTCTTAACATTTTCCCTAGCTTATTTTGTTTTAAGAATACAGAATATAAACTTTAACAAACAAGATGTATGTTAATTGACTATCTGTGTTATCAGTGGAGCTTCTGGTCAACAGTAGGCGATGTTTAGTTAGGTTTTGAGGGAGTCCGAAGTTATAAGGGGGTTTTCTACTACATGCAGGTCAGTGTCCTTAACCCCTACATCGTTCAAGGACTGAGTGTATCCCCATTTTGTATATACACGTGTATACACACATATTCTTAATGTATAGATTGGACTGATTTTCACTAGTGCACTAACTCCATATACCAACCAGACCTGCAGTTTATGAAATAGTCTTCATTGCTCATTACAAATTTTGCTATTTAAGTCATTGTAAGATTCTTGAGATCAAAGTCTGTTATTATTTTACATTCCATGTTCTGTCAAGCATTGTGTTAAGCCCTCAGTAGTTATATTCATGTGAGGAGATGAACTGGATCTCATGAGTAAAAGGGTAATTTGTTCTTGAAAATCAGGAGGGTGGGTTCCAGGAATACAGAGCAGGCCCAACGCAGCACATGAATTTAGGGAAGTTTTGCAAAAGAGGCATAGTGCATAGGAGTTGACCTTTTATTAATAACATCTTTCTTGAGAGACTCATGGAGCCTGGGCTGTTTTCAGCCCTTTGAAGTCCTCTCTTCTGCTGAGGTAGTGAGAAACAGCAAATTTAAAGTAAAGGAAAAAGAGGCCTGGGAGCTCAGCTTCTGGGCAGTCATTTTCAGTATTTATGCGTGTCCATAAGTGGCTAGTGACTGGTAGTAGCACCATTGATTCTATTTTTAACAGTTGACTTCCTCACAATCAATGGGATTGACCAAACCAATCGTCAAGTCAACAGCAACAAGAGGCTAACCACACTGAGACCCATTCATGTGGCTTGTGGCTCCAGATGGGGTTACACCTCCAACAAACCCCAGGCTAGGGAATACATCCCCTAGCACTGAACACCCCAACCTCCTTTCTCAGTGCCAGCTGACCCCATTACCATAGAAACTTGGTGGAGAAAGACCCGAAAGTAAATTATGCAGCTCTTTAGCACCCTCTGGTGTCCAGTCTTCCAAAAACCCAAAATTCTCCTGGGTTTTTTAAAAGGTAACTGATCATTTCTGCCCAAAGGTATGTACCTCCTTGTGATGTTCAGGAATCCAGAGAGACTTTCTTTTAACTGACTGCACCATTCATGTTAGCTAAAGAATACAATCAGTGGGAAAAACCTTTTACCTGGCATCTAAGGGGAACTAGTATCACCTAAACAGTGTATTTTTGTGACTTGCTAACGTGAAAATTGCCTGCTGTAAAGCCTGAAATTTATTTTCAGTTACACAAAGTAAAATTTTCTATAGCAAGTGTTTATAATGGAATCTTTAACTATGTGAAGTGCTCCAGTAAGAGGATGGAAGGGCTAAAGAGGTACTAACCGACCTAACATATTGATTTTTTTCTTAAGAGTCCTGCTCCCCACCCTATTCTACTGGAAAGTATCATAAAAGAGAAAAGTTCTCAAGCGGTAATCAGAATTGGGACCTGGGCTTGCTGTTTTTTTCAGGTTGAAGTGTGACTTTGGATACCTTACAATCTGTTCAATCGATGAATCTGTTTTCTCAACTACAAAATAAGAATGTAAGTATAGGTGTTCTTTATCATCTTGAGTTAAAATAATGAAAATCTAAGATTCTCTGGGGTTGTTAGAGTTTGGGTTTCCGTATGACCCAAAGAAGATGGATAGAAACAGATTTAATTATCTACTTGTGCATACGTTTGAATCTCTTCATAATAAAAAATAGTTAAATAACTTACAGTTGGAATCAATTTCCCTGTTCTCCTGAATATCAAATTAATGAGACTCAATGGTAATCCTGAAACATAAGAAGAATGGTGGATTCTCATTGTAGACTCTCTTGTGATTCAATACTTTAAAATAAGCATTGGTAGTTCAATAAACTTTCCCCTTTTTTAGAGTGGCCTTAAGCAATATATGAGAAGAAGCAAATTAGAGAGAGAGAAAGATTTCTGCAGAAAAGCACCAAATGCTCTTCATATATTTTTATTATAACAGTGCTCACTTATTAAGATCCTACTAGGTACCAAGAGTGTTAGATACTTCATTTTATTTAATCCTCCTAACGTTCTTGCAAGGTAGAATTTATTATTCTCATTTTGTAGAAAAGGAAACTAAGCCTCAGAGTACAAAGCAATTTGTCCCAGTTAACACACAACCCGTAGAGCTAATACTCAGACCGAGTCTTGTCTGAATCCAAGCTGTTTTTCTTTCCTTAGAAGTAACCTGTTTTCATTTAGAGAGCAAAGAAGGGAAGAGAAAAAACTCCTGAACCCATTGTTCTAACCGAGCAGTTGAAAATATCTTTTCTTAGCAACAGATGGCTTTACAAAGTCCCGGAAGCAGGCAATCCGGTGCCCTTGCTTTGCCTCCTTGGCATGAGGAGCTCTCAGGCCCTCCCCTCCCCATTAGCAAGGCCAGATTGACAAGGAAGCAGCTCCGCTCACTCATTCACCTTCCCACAGGCTTTAGTTGAGCATCTACTGAGAGCCAGATTCTCCCGGGACAGCAAAATGAGAGTGGAGTTGTTTCTTTAACATTCTTTACGTGTCAGCAGAGATACCACACATGCCTCTAACTGGGAAGGAAGGAAGGCATAATGGCAGGAATTTGTTCTCCCATTGACTGGCTCTTAGCCGCTGCAGCACCCCAGTAAGCAATTTGTTCCTGAACTCCCAGGAACTGAGCTTCAGGTAGGAAAAGGATGAGTTGGAGCATCTCCACATCTTATAGAGAATTAAAGAAATTCTGTTGCCAAAAGCGTTTATAATCATGATGCAGTCCTTGATGCATTACTGAGAAGTCTAAACACCTGCCTGGTTTCAAATTCTCTCTCTATCTTTCGAAGCAGCACATCTTCCTCTAACTCATCTGAGAGATCTGAGTAGCAGCCTGGCTGATGTTCTAAAGCCAGAGAAGGCCTACTCTATATATCATATAACCTCCGCGGTTTTGCTTGGTAAGAAGGGAGTTAAACAGATGTCTGCTGCCTAGTATTTCTCTTTCCATTAGCATACATGTTCCTTTCTGGATTTTGAAAAGATTTGTCCCATCAATCCCAGACAGGAGGAGTCCAAATGTATTCTCCACAGTTTCCTCCAGCCAGAGCTGCTGATGTACCTTTCTGGGTCTTTGGAAAAGAAACCCGTTGGTTATCAAGATCACTGATAACCGTGGGAGGAGGCAAAAGGGCAGGACATGGAAAGAAAGAGCCACTCCCCCTGGATAATGGGTTGGAAATTCTCGGCACTGTGGAGCTTCAGCGTTTTCAGGGTTGAACATCCTCATGATTCACAGACCTAGAAATGAGAGATTACAGGGAGAAAAAAGACAAGGGCAGTGCATCCGGGCAAACACAGCTAGGAAGTTTAGACTGGACTGCGCAAAGGCTAATGAAAGGACAGTCTCCCACTGCAAAACTCCAGAGACATTGAGAACTCAAGCTTTCTGAAAAGCAGACAATGTGATTGTATTTAATTTTTTTCCTTTGCATTTTTCTTAGTTTATACTAAGTCCCCCTTTTTTTCCTTTCTAGTTCTTTCTTTCAGGATCGCTGCATTCTACTGCGTTTGAAGTGGGGAAAGGAACTATAAACCTAAATTATGGCCAATCAGATTGTACTCACAGCTCAACTGCTGGACAAATTGCAGCTCATGAAATTTGCTATGGGTCAGGAGACTGCGTAATTTTATTTTAATCAGTCTTATTTGAGCTGGAATACCGTTGCCTCAAATCCTCTGAACGGAATTCCAGAGGGGATATAGACCGGTCTGATTTCCCCCCTTCTCACCTCTTTGTGGTTTTTTTTTTCTCCATTTTTGTAGTAAAGTGTTTCAGGTCTTTGGGAGATAATGAGAAATAAAAGTTGAGATGGTCAAATTGTATTTTCATTCTGAACGAAAGCAAGTCTGAGCTTATGTTCACGGCAGCCTTTCTTGCAATGCAGGATTACGCTGCCCAAACATCCGCAGCGTTCATTTCCATAGAGATGTCCCAGTCAGACGGGGCCCCAAGAACCGCAAATGCTCTGCTGATCCGCAGCCCTCGCCTTCTGTTCGGATTTCTGGAACATTATTCCATGTCACAGGAGGCCTCCCAGGCTGCTGCGAAGTCAGATGGACCCACATCCCAACCACACAGCTGCCTCCCCAGCAAGGGGGAGAGAATAAGGCCTTTCAGAGTCACCCAAGTATGAGAAGGAGACAGCATTAACACTTCAGAAATCCCCAGGATCTGTAATGTGATCTTCACCACAGCTTACATCACAGACTCAGACCTGAAGGGAGGGGCAGGCAAATGGTCATTGTGAGAGGCCAAGATGCAGGGTCAGGACATCACCCACTCTTTCCTCTAACTCTGAAGCCCAGTCTGTGGAAGAATCTTCATAGTGGTGAAATATATGAACAGGGACAGTTTGCTTTCCAAGGAAGAGAATTCGGCAACAGCCTCACCTGCGGTCACACATCAGCTCACGACTCAGGAGTCCAGCGCAAGCTGGTTGTGCAGAGCCCTTGCCTTTCAGTCCTCATGCACATGCCAGAGGCATAAACAGACCTTCTGTGAGTAACTAAGGGTCGGGGGCAGTCTGTGCCACTTCTCTTCTTGGTGATCCTCTTCTTCTTCATCGTTCTCACCTCAGCTTTCTGCACTTGCCTTTTTAGGTCAAAGGAATCGATAACTCTAGTCAAATAATTTAAGATAGTACAATAACCCTGACAAACCAACAAACAAAGAAACACATGAACAACCAGTTTGACATTTTAAGAAGGTTATTCATTTGCTCATTTATTTAGTTAATAAAGGATGATTAGCTTTCTTTTCAGGCCAACACAAAAGATAAAAATATGAAGACATTATTAATGATCTTAAATAGTTGAGGCTTTAAGCAGCCAATTGTCTGAGGTGGTGTGAGACAGGCCAGGAGGAGCTCTGTATTTCTGCTGGGTTGAGACAGAAAGTGACACCAGATGTAGCTACAGACAGTCCATTCTGTCACAAGATGAGAATAGCCTAATGCAGTAAAGCAATCTCTTTGACAATAGTAGTAGCTAACATCTAATTTAGTGTTTACTATGTGCCAGGAACTGTGTTAAGTGCATTACGTATATTACCACATTTAATTCTCACAACAGTGCCATGGTGTTGTTACTGATGTTTTCATTCCCATCTTATACAAAAAAAAAAAAAAAAAAACTGAGTCACACAGTGTTCGTAACATATTCAAGGCCAGCCAGCTAGTGAGGAACAGAATCAATATACCAATTCAGGTGGTCTAGCTCTTAATGTACATGATGTCAACTAACCCACTATTCTGCTTTCAACAGAGAGAACCCGGCATGAAATAATGGTAAAGCAGGGGAAGAAAGAATTGAGAAGATATTATTCACAGAGACTTGCATGAGCCAAGTCTTTGAAGCAGCTACCAAGTTCTCAGTGAGAACTTCAATTTCTAAGACAGACTGGCAACAGTAAGGCAGAGCACTGGTCCCAGAGGTACCTTGGGCAAATCACACTACATACTACAGTTACCGCTGGTGACTCTGCAAATCAAATACTACAGTTACCGCTGGTGACTTTGCAAATCACATACTACAGTTAGCGCTGGTGACTTTGAACTCCTTGAGAAAAAAGTAGAATTCCAGTTTTTAGAATGAGGGCACCCAGATAAAGCTACATTTGTAGAAAGTGTCTTATTGCTGAGTCAGGACTTGTGCTGGATAAAGTACCTCGGTCCACCCACATGTGCAGGTTAGATTAGATGAATCTAATGTCCTAGGGAATACGGACTCATGGTTACTGGTGGTCTGGTTCTCCAAACATCTGCATCAGGGAACCTGAGATTCAAACACAGGTCCCTAGACCTTTACTGAATTAGAATCAATGAGGGGGACTTCAGGAGAGTTTATAATAAATCCTCTACAACTTCCATGTGGACACTGAACTTTGAGAACCATTGAGCTCAACTTTCAGGGAGTACTCAAAAAATGCTGGTAAGGGGATGAGATGCCTGCAAAGGGAGCATCTAGCACCAGGTGTGAGGAGGTAGGCAGGAGTGGCAGCTCCACTGGGCAACACTGTTGCAATTGTCATATACATTCTTAAAAGTAATCCAGATTCACTTATTCCTTATTTTTGTCTTTTGGGGTTTTATAGCTTTTAAAAATAACTTGAAAGGCAAGTAAATTTTTAAATAAAAATATAACACTGGCTTAGATAATTAGCCTTGGGTTCTATTTCTAAGAAGCATTAAAACATGATTAACTTTCTTGACATGAATCTAAGAAAATAAACTTCCTTCCTTACTTTAAAGGAGCTCAACATGCGAATTTGTCTAAATCCTCAAAGGTAAAGTCCAAATATTTACTCCTTAATGAGTGAATTAGAATAGCCATCTCTACATTAAACCTACCTGTTTTTAAGCTTAATTGGAACTCCCCGGAAACTAATAATGGTGTATCTAATAAGCACTAATAATTTTCACTTAATGCCTTTGCCCCTTTATCTAAAGACTTTTATAAGAAAGAGAAAAGAAGAGATAAACAAACAAGGGGAAAAAAAAGTTTATCCAAGAACTGCTTCTCTTTATTAATTTACTTTTTTCCAGGGAACACGTGTAGTTTGTGTTTTAAAAAAAAAGTTGTTTAAAAATATTTTCCCATTTTTTTAAGAAATTAATTTTATCACAAAGCAAGTCATTATCACAAGCATTTAGCGGTAGCTAAAATGATTTTTTATACATTATTGTAAACTCCCAAAGGATACATTTGTTTGCTGTAGTCTGAGACAGACATCACAAAATGTATGATCCCCAGTTTGTATTTTCCCCAGCATCCCCGAACTCAGCCTTCCCTCTGAAACTTGACTCACTGCCCCAATGCATTTTGTGGACTGAAAACATTCTCCACATAAACTTCATGGAGTTAGTGTTAAGTTTCTGCAGTGAATGCATTTTTCACGATTAAAACTCACAGCTTGCTTTTTGTCTGGGGAACATAGTTCTAGGAGAGCAGTCATTCTGAGCTACGAGTTCCAAAGTCACAAACGGTTTTAAACTTTGATTCACTTCAAAATACATAGGTTTAGCAACAGAATTGTGTCACTACAAATTTTCATGCAACTTTTGTGCACAAGTAACACATTCCAGTTATACCTGTCTCAGCCAGAGCATCAGTAGGAAATAGATGGCGTATTCCGATTACATAATTCCAGAAGGATCTAACACAAAGGTGTGGGCTGCTACAGAGGAAACGCAAATAGTACAGGTACCTGGGAGTAGCACCCGAGAGCTGTCACTGCCCCTAGGCCTGAAGGACGAGGAGAGGAAGAAGTTACCAGGGTGCAGAAGTACACTGTTGCCTTAACCAAAGCAGTGGTCTTCTGTTGAGAAACGCAGATATCCCAAAGACATCTGATAGGCAAGGAGTTGAGTAATAAACGCCTCACCTTCTTCTCCCTCCTCTTTCCTCTCATCTCCTTTGGAGGCTTTTGTCAATTAAACCCAATAGATACCAGAGGTCATGGAAGCTCCTTAATGTGTTCCACCACATACCAGCCTTGCAGGACTGAAAGAAAGATGGAGAAGGTGGAGAGAGGTTACAGAGGCAAATGGAAGATTTTTTGGCATAACCCGCATGACACACTGGCTTTAATACCAAATCTGGCACTTAGCATGGGAGTTACCTTAGGCAAATTACCTGGGCTAGCTAAGTCCGAGTTTTCTTCTCTATAGTATGAAGACTCTAATTACTCCCTTGCAGGGGTTAAATGAGAGACTAGGTGCATATCACTAAGCCCAGCGCCTAGAGTAAAGGAAGAATGAAAAGGCGAGTTTCTCCCTCTGTAATCCCTCTCTAAGCAGCAATTGGTTGTATGTAACTAGTCTTACTTGCTCCCCGGTTTCTCCTTTGACAGACATCACATATATACAAAGGGGATGTCTTACTTTCTGAGAAAATATGAAGGTACTTGTTCAGTAATTAAACCCACAACAGTAGCTTCTTGAGATCAACACTAAACCAAATGAATAAACCAGCAATGGAACAGTGATTTTCTAATAATAGATTTCATAGAATTGCATCCAATCAGACACATATTGATAAATCTTGGTTTTTAGAAGAATATTTCCTAGAGCAATTGATAATAAATATTTCATAGGCATTTCTGCTTTGTGGTCAACTGAGATCAAGTCTCCTAAAATATATCATCTTTGGTAATCTGAATAGCAAAAGTGAGTAGATATGTATTTGTTTCTGTTTCCAGAAGAGGAAACTGGGACTCACAGAGGTCACAGGACTGTAAGTAATAAAACCAGGGTTCTGTCAACAGGCATAAAGTATGGAATATCATTTTAACATTTACCCAAATTAGAATTAAAAAGTTGCTATGTGCCAGATACTGTGCTATGCACAGAGGTTAAAAAATATGACGAGTGAGCCCTTATCATCTCTTCCAGTGTAACATGTCCCCAGTCTTTTGCTAGGCACTGGGTGAATGCTAAGAATATTAATGGTTTCAGACTAAACAATGATCTAACTTTACTTGAATCCATATTCTTCTTTATTTATTCAATGTTTATATATGATTGATGTACCCAAGGATTCACGTTTTTTTAAGATATTTTTCTTGGTTGGCAGCACAGGTATAATTGGGTAACTAAATGGTCTCTCTGTCGAGGTAACATAACCAACCTAATTCTTTAATCAACCACAGATTGATAAACTAGAAATCCCAGAACAATCACAATTACTTGTAGATTTAATTCACTCACGCATAGATATTTCTTATTCCACCTCCTTCTTCCTTTTTCCATTCTTTCTTTCTCCAGTATTTTCTTCTAAAATATTTATAAAGCAGTCCTTAGTCTTTTATAGGTTGAAAAAATCAAACTTAAGTTGAAAGTCAAAATTGCATTTATAAGAAATTTCTAATATAGAGGGTAACCATTCAATCAAGTCAACAATAGTCATAAAATATAATTGGTCTGAGGTGTTTCAGCACAGGATTCCGTGGTAGCATAAATAGGGTGAGTTACTGCAGGAGGCCATCTTCAAGGGTATTTGAAAATTGAGCAGGGGAGTTCCAGGGGGAGTTCATGCAGATAGAGTAGAAAAACCAAGAGCTCTCTGAGTGGTTAGCAATGGCTGACACCTATTAATGAGTGGTAGGAAGACAGAGGGTGAAAGGTAAATACTAACGAAATACTGAACAGACTTACTTGCTGTTGAACAAAATATAAATTTCCAGGGCCTTCTACAACACTGACATTAGGTTAACTAATATTGGACTTACTAATGAAGATGCTGGTATTTGGAGAGACACACATGATGCAGGGGAACTGTATCTTTGAAGGATAACCTAGGTTTATTTTAGACATACAAAGGAGTTTTTTATAAAATTGGAACACTGGCTTTGGCCTGGGTACCTCCAACAGAACAGGTGCATAACCAATCAGCAGCCAATAGCAGTAAGTACACACTGAAAATCAATACTGGCTATACAGGAAAGAAAAATGCCACTGAGGACTTGGGATCATTTTTCAAATCCTCCTGCCTGAATATTTTGTAGCATTGCGAATTAACAGGAGGGAAAGAAAAAAAATCAAACCTGCATTATTGGTATCCATGCCTTCATCAGTCTTCTAACCAAATTGATCACATGGCCTTCACTACAAGAGGCCCCTTCCCAAAGCACCAAGTTTCAAAACTAATATTAGTTAGTTAATGAATCCTCTGAAGTCCTCAGTCATTAGTGCAGCATGCAAGTCTCCTATAATCGTGGGATTATTTGAACCTACCCTCCACATGCTTCCATTAGATGAGCCCTCTGGTCAGATTAAACATAGCCCCTACACCTTTAATATTCTCTTGGGAAAATTTGGCTTAGCAGAAAGAATGTGAGTTTTGCTTCAGCGTAGTTCATTGTGAATCATATTTCTAACTCTGTGACCTTAGGCTAGTTCATTAACTTTGCTGAATTCATTTCCTCATTTGGAAAATAAAATGAAAAACATCCACTTTTCAGAGCTGTTGTGAACATTAGAGATCATTTTATAAAATGTCAAGAATGTGCCTCTCACATAATAGCTTCTCAATAAATGGTGGTTGTTATTGTAATTCCTTTCTCCAGGTTCCTATTTGGCAGTTCCGAAGCATTTCTGTACTCCCCAAGGTGTTGTGCCAGTTCCCACTCTATGTTCGGTTGATGTCAATTAATTCCTTCTAAATTGTTACCTGGTGGGGAATCAAGGGCCCTGGCTCTGACTCTGCCATTGGCACATTTCATAACCTTGAACAAGTCACCTACATTTTCTGGGCTCTGCTTGCATAGCTATAAAGTGAGGGTTTGATTAGATGATTTCTAATGATGCCTCCAGTCCTATGGTTATATAGTCCATGCCATTAGTTGGCCAATAAAGCACCTCCTTCCCACGCCTTCCGAGTTCCTTGAGCTCTCTAACAATTTCTTGTACTTCCTTGTATCCTAAGAGTCTCCTAAACATATAGTTCTGATTTATTGATTACTTTGATGACAATTATGGTAATCACTGAATCAAACCATTGGCTTTTCCTAAGGTCATGCTGCTAACAGACAAGCAATGGAAATGACCCCATATACATGACCTTAGGATTTGATTTTTATCTTTCCATATTGGTTCAAAAACACCATCAAAGCCATTGTGAGGACATTTAACTATAACCAAAGAAATAATGGGAAGAAAGTTAGTGTGTTACTCTGATGAAATGTTAAGGTCCTTTCCCTTTGACCTAATTTTTTTAATAGATAGAAATAAAAGCAAAGCAAAAAAAAAAAAGAAAGAGAAAGACATGAAAAGTTGCTGCCAAACTGCTGCCAAATACATGGGTTTTAGAAATTGGTTACCCAGGTGGTACCTGATAACAATACCATTTTGGCAAGAACACCATGTAAGTAGCTATTTAACCACTGGGGCAGAAATAAAAATAATCATGCCTGTCAACTGAATTGGAGGGGAAAAAGGGATGGTTATTTCCAATGTCAAGATGGCTGACAATCAAGAAATAGATTACATAATCTGAAATAAAGGCAATGATATGAGTAGAGCTACTCCTAATATCACCTTTTCTCATTAGTCAAATTTAACTCCAGGCCGTGCTCAACTGCTCAGAGCCTGTACAGCCTGGATTGATTTGGTCCATGGAACTCAATAAATCGATCACCTCTATTCAACATCATCTGTGTGCCCAACTCACCAAAAACTACATTCATTTCTGTCTATTTTAAATGTACTAATTGTTTTAGCAAATGTTGCTTTTAATTTAAAATTAATTAAAGTTTTTTATTTTGTTTTTAAATGGGAATCAAACTCTATTTGGAGTTAATTTATTACATATATGAGATTATCCCAAAGGTTTATTTCTATCATTATCTTCTTCACCATCAACCTGAGAATCCAGATGGGTGAACAAAACATAATTTAATAATAAATCCTTCTTTTCAAATATTTATTATTTGTATTTGAAATATAAAATTGAAATAAACATTTCTGAATGAATGAATGTGGTAGAGAATGAACTAAACTCTGTTTGTATGGTAGGGAATGAAACCAGCAAAGTTCCTTCTTT